AACCTGATTTTTTACATGTAAACTTTTTTGAAGAAAGAATTAAAACTTTTGATTACAAAATGTTAGCCACTGAAAATAGGGAAGATAAAACAATTAGCGACGTAATTAAACATGTATTAAATATGTGGCCAGATGTAAACGAACTACCGAATGACGAAAAACATTATTACTCAAAACGATTAGAATTAACAGTCGAGAAAGGATGTTTATTTTGGGGCCTAAGAGCCGTTATTCCACAAAGCATGAGAACCTTAATTTTGAATAAATTACATGCCACACACCTAGGAATTGTAAAGATCAAAATGTTTGCTCGCTCGTATGTTTGGTGGCCAGGAATAGATTCGGACATAGAAGCTTTAGTGAATAGATGCAAAATTTGTCTAATTCAGCATAAGAAGCCGCCGCATACGCCATTAACAACATGGCCATGGCCGACAAAGGCATGAAGCCGCATACATTGTGATTTTGCAGGACCATTCTATGGGAACATGTATTTAATTATAATTGATGCGTATTCCAAATGGCCGGAAATGATTAATTTTAAGAATAACACAACAGCGTACAGACTAATCGAGGAACTCAAAGGGTTACTTGCGAGATTTGGGTTGCCGTTACATTGTGTTACGGATGGAGGACCATAATTTAGAAGTGTGGAATTCCACGAATTCCTGATAAAAGACGGAGTAAAACATACTTATTTGCCCCCACACTATCCGGCGACTAACGGGGCCGCTGAAAACTTTGTGCAAACATTTAAAGATAAAGTCTCAAAAATCGTTCAAGGGGGAGAGACGCTGGACACAGCGGTCGATATGTTTTTGTACGATTACCGTAGTATCGAGCATTGTACCACACGTAGGAGTCCAGCATTCTTGATGTATGGTCGCGAGCTGAGAACTCGATTCGACCTGTTAAAACCGAATGTAGCGGAGACTGTTGAAGATAAGCAACGTGCACAGATCGTTAACAGACCCGGTAAACGTAAGGTAGAGATAGCGGTAGGTGAAGACGTTATGGTAAATGATTACAGGGTAAGAGCCGATAAACGAACGGCCGGTAAAATTGTGAAACAAACTTCGCCATCTACATGTGCTGTACGAACCGACCAAAATGTAATCCAAAAGCGCCATGTTGACCAAATAATAAAGGGTAGAGCGGATGAACCAATTTTGCGCCGCTCCCCGCGCCTCAACAGAATTCGAATTAAAAAGGCGGGAGAGTTGTAATGTATTGAAATACGTGACATCACGGAGCCACGTGATGTACTGTGCGTTGCAGCTAAGTTGCCGTCCAATCAAATTCGTTGACCTACCTCCAGTCACACGTATTATGTTTATTGGCCGAGGCTCTTACATCCACAAATCTATCGCGTGACGAACGTCGCTAAGGACAGACATTGAAACAGAATGAGATGAAGCGATTGAGAGCGACGATTCAAACGCATTGACGTAGAAGTAGATTCGGGGTTTACATTATTAAGAAAACAGGAGAGTTTTTACACTTTCCATAATGTAATTTCCATAAATTTTGCATAATAACAACTGTTATCAAGAACGAGTATTATAAAAAATCTATTAATATCTCGAAAAAATTGCACGTTTATATATTTAAATACATCTTCCGCGAATATGAAAATTTTACGCCTATGCAATCTGGCCGCTCACTTCTCAAGTTACGGGCTCCTGGAGGGGATTAGGTGGAGCGAACGCACAGTCCCCTTGCCCCGCTGACGGTTCAGTTTGCTGGTGCTCGGCAACTTAAGCTGCAACGCACAGTACTGAGTACACGAGCACGGGCTATGTAGCGCGGAGCGGGGACGCCGAACGTGAGCAGTGCCGCATCAGCTAGAAACTGATCTAGACCTACGACCCATGTATACGAGTTAAAATTAAGTATCCGCGACCTTATTACCCGGACATTACAGATAAAACTATTTAACATATTAAAAGACTTACTCATACGGAAAAATATAAAAATCTTCAGCATTTCAAGACACATTAAAATATTAAATATAAACTGGCATGAAATAGAGGAAATATTAAAAAACACCTTCAATAAAACAAACATTAAAATAATAATATGCTAAAACAGTATCCAAATCGTAAAACCCGAAAATAGAGATAAAATATTCGACCAATTCCACTCCACAAAACTAGGAGGTCATTCAGGCGTAAATGAAACATATAATAGAATAAAAGACAAATTCTTTTGGGAAAACCTAAAACAAGATATTCAAAATAAAATAAAAAAGTGCGAGGAATGCCAAAGAAATCGTATATACGCGTAATCCGTATACCCACGGTATCCTTTAATGACTATTTGCTCTTTAACAGTAAAATTTCTCCGACGTGGACATGAGTCATATAGCATTCATTGTATAGCAATATTATACACACTCATAGTAAGCAAAAATCTATTAAAGTGGTACAAATGTCCATTACGCGTAGTTACGGCACTGATGCGGCGAGGTAGGCATACAATGGCCGCCTGGCGGCAAGGCGTCGTAGTCACGTTGTCGATGGATATTTTCTTTATTTGTTCCAACACCAAACCATACCGATACTTTCTGTGAATGGTTTCTTCATCAGAAATGTTTATAGAATGCAATCCTGTATAGTAAATTCCTGCTAGATAAAAGATTTTTCATAAAAATACAAAAATAGCGCTTCTCGGCTACTACGCACTATCCATTAACGGAGACAACGAGCCGCGAGCTGTATTTTTTGTGTGTTTCATTAAACTTATTATTAAAGCCTTTTTATTGCATCACTAGTTTGGTTGTCGTTTTGGAACTCCCTTCGATACTCCTACTCCACAACTAGTGACGTTAAAGAACAACAAGAATATTAGAAAGCTTCCAAAGAAAAGACATCTAACTAGAAACGAAGATATCGAATTGAATGAAATGAAAATAGAACATCCGAACAGCTTGGAATGGAGAGCATTACCACCCGTTCCATTACGACCACCTGCAATTAAACCACCTGTACCGCAACCAATAACGCAGAAACAGATACAAGTCTTTACGCTGGAAAAATTGAACTAAAAATATGGAATTCAGGGAATACGCATAAATAAACACACGCAAATTCAAAATAAAATAAAAATTTATTCAAAAAAATAAAAGGAGAAGTATTTACAAAATAACAATGTACAATAAAATCCTTACGATAAATATTTATTCAGAAAAAGGAAGGGGAGGATACAGCAAACAACAAGTTATGATAAAAGAAATTTATTCAAAAAACAAAACAAAAAAATATATGGATAATATGATAATATCAAAAAATTAGTGCGTACAATATTCTTGGAATAAGGGCGCAATGTTTAAAATCCTATCCTCATCCCAATCCATCAAATCACTCATATAATCACGGTATTCCTTCCGTAATCGTTGGACGGCCAGGCGATACCTGATATTAATGTGGCCGCGGTATGATCTGTACACCCCATTCACGCGCTACAACAAAACAACCACAATATATATATATAAAAAAAAAAGTAAAAAAAAACTTTTTAACACCACTTACCCAGGAGCGAACCACATCTTTCAAGGGCGGAAACAAATCCATTTAACAGTTATAAAGCCGGCTTCAAACACGTGACGCAAAAGTAAATTGCAAGTGACGATTCTACTCGCCAAACAAGAAGATATACCGAACACCCCACCAAGCGCACAAAGTTCTGAGGAACCACAAGACACCTGACAATACCCAGAACTAGCGCATCCGAGACATCCGCTGTCTCAGCGCATACCTTCCGCGATAGAGGATCAAGCAAATACTAGTTGCATCTTAAAAGAAACCTTGAATTTAAAACTTAATAAAGAAGTCCAGAAGCATCGGTCTACAATACTATTCAGTACACGCACTATAGCTCTGTCACGCATCCCTACCGCCTCAATCTCAGCGGGGAGGAAAGTAAATGGTCAATCGAAAACCATTTACTCTTTGTAATACACCGATTCGCAAGTGCAGAGAAGTACTAACAAAAAAAATTACCCAGCGCAACAAATTCACGTCAACTAACAAAGATTGTAATTACACTCATCCCAAAATTGTAAAATTCACCCAACTCATAAAACCACAAACTATGAATTCGGATAACACAATTGCTTAAGAAAATTTTTTTTTCCTCTTCAAATTTATTTGTTAATATCGTACCGATATGCAACAATCTAGGCGACCAGGTGTCACGTCCTGTGACGCATTCTTGAAACTTCTATTTCGCCATTCAAATTCTTTAAACTCCTATTTCATTATCCGAATTCACCGTCCCGCAAATTCTGAGTGAGCAGTTCGTTCGGATCAACGGATCGCGAGAACGCTGACCATCCGAACGCGGTGGTTCACCCGAATTGCAAAATCAAACGGCGACCTCGCTCATCAATATAAAATAACGCGACCGAGCCGGCACGCTCTCAGAAGCAGTTTATCAGTACAGTAAAACCTGGATAAATTCAACGAAAGAATGCTTGGATAAATGAAACATCGCTATCCCCTCCACTTGGGGGGATCCCCCTAGGCGAACCGAGCCGCTCGACGAGGAAACCGTGTAATATGATCCGACCGTAATATCCGTGTGACTAATACTAATTCAACGATAAAACTTTTTTATTTTTAACTTTTTCTCAATGAAACTGTTACTAATGCATTTGTGAGATTTTTCTGATTAAAATGATACCAAACTCGATATAGGTTGAATTATATTTATAAACAATAGTAATAGAATAAACAACATAGAATTGAGACCACGACTGAATATAAATGATGTCGGCTGAATACAAAAGATGTGTACGGACACAGAATCGGCATGTCGGCTGCAAAGAAAACATGTGTACGGACTCAGAATCGACACCTCGCTTGGTTAAATGAAACATTAAATGCCCAGAATCGACTCCTTGCTTGAATAAATGAAACATTAAATGCCCGGAATCGACTCCTCGCTTGAATAAATGAAACATTAAATGCCCAGAATCGACTCCTCGCTAGGATTGTTACGAACGCGGATCCGGAGCGGTTCGGACGCACGCGCCGTGGGAAGAGAGTAGGTAATATACTCGTGTTAAATTTTCGTGAATTAATAGGAGGGATATTTGTTTAAGGTGGGTCCGCCGAATCGTCGAAGTAGCCTGGCGGACGAATACACGTCCCTACAGGGTTCCCGATTCGGTAAGGGCGATTGAATGAAATGAAAAGGCTCCAGGATAGGAGGGTATAAATGTTTTATTCTTGTGGATTGAATATAATAGCTAGGATTTCGGCTGGAATCTCGTTGGTTTCTGCTACGTTAACTGATTCTAGTTCTGGTTCTTTGGTTAAATCGATGAGCTGCGGTGAGCGAGGACCCAGGCAAATGGTCGAAGCTTCTGACACGGGTGAATAACACGGTTCGCCCGGATGACTTGACGGACCGGATGGTGGAAATCGCGTCTCTAGCTCCTTTTGGACCAATTGGATCTGGCGTTTGATTAGTGCCCTAGCTCGTTGCTTAACACCACCTCGACGAGTGGGTCTGCGACTGCGTTTACCCTACAAGACCGTCACGTATTGAATATGTAAAAGAATAAATTGGTGATGCCAATTCATTGTTCTAATTACTCACTTGATTTACCTTCATCGCAGGTAGACTTGAGCTGCCGGTGCGACTTTCTCGAGCGCACTCCAAGCGAAGGGAAGAAACGACGCGACAGGTAGTAACTGGTGCGACTTTCTTGAGCGCACTCAGCTAGAAAGGAAATCCGGCGCGACTTTCTTGAGCGCGACCAGGAAGAGTAGAATAAAGCTGACAGGTGCGGCTTTCTTGAGCGCACTCTTAGAATATAGCAAGGGGCTGGTGCAACTCCTTTGAGAGCACTCAGACTAGAAGAAAGAACAGAGTAAGAATATAGATTGGAAATGTGAATCAAGTTGGCAATGTTACTATGTTAGCAATTGTATGACGTTGGGTCTTGTCGTAGGTTTCCGTAGACGATGGAAAGTAGCAAGAAATAATGATCGCGAATGAATGGAAATAAATAAATACTAAGTAGTAACGTTTCGCGATTCAATCCCGAGTATGACGACGATCGGAAAATAAATATAACAAAGGAGATTCCAAGTAGACTAGGGTAGGAAAATACACAGGATTCAAATATATAAGTGTTTAATAAAATAAATATAAATAAGTATAAAAGCTTACGTATGAACACTGATTTTGAGAACTTTCGTAGAACTAACTTAATCCGTTTGCGAACACTGAATCCTTGTTTGCTCACTTAGTCCTTGTTCGAGCACTTAGTCCTTTCACTGGTTAGTTGTTGCACTGTTGAGAGATCCGGATAGACTGACGATCTGGGCTCCGGGCCCTGTATTTATGTAGTATAAGATGCTGAGGTTTGACTTCCCATGCATCTATTTTTAGAGGGCTGATTAGCTTTTTGCTGATGCTGATTCAGCGTTCGTAGAAAAGACTTATCTTTGTTGACTCTGAATTTTTGTTACTTGAGGAGCCTGAGAAAGGTCCCGTGAGAATTTCTGGATGCCTCTCTCAGGGGTACTCCGTTCGCAGTGGTTCTCTTTTATAGTGTTAATTTATTTATGTTTAATTATTTAATGTTATATATATATAGGTAGACGACTTAGTTGTTATTAGTATAAGCATATACCATGATGTAATAATTTGTAATAATAAATTGATAATAACAATAATGAAAAATAGTAAGGATTGATATATGTATGTATATATATATGTAAGTATTGGTAAGTGAATTTGTCAGGTCGATGACTTATCGATGGTAAACAATGTTTTTGTAATGTCGATAGGTTACCATTTGTAGATGGTAATTGGGGATGGCAACTTACCATCGGCCGGTAACTTATCATCGGTCGGTAACTCATGTTGCGCACACGGAAAGTACCATCGGTCGGTAACTCACCATCAGTCGGCAACTTACCATTGGTCGGCGACTCATGTCGCGCACACGGAAAGTACCATCGGTCGGTAAGGTAGGTCGCGAAAAAATATGTCTCTCGGGGGGGGGGGGCTCTAGGATGTAACAGGATAAATGAAACCTTTGAAACCAAAGCCGATACCGCGACTGGTTTGGATTTCAATCTCTCTTGCTTTTCGCCAACTTATAACATCAATTTTAGCAAGTAATTGTAATTGAAACTATATCGTGTTTGGTACCACTTTACTCACAAAAATCTCACCAATGCGCTAGTAAAAGTTTCACTCAAAAAAAGTCAAAAATAAAAAAGTTTTTTGATTCAATTAGTATTAGTCACACCGATACGTTTCGGCTCTTTCCTTTCACTTCGGACCTCTCTCTTTCCACCATTGTCTGTCCCTTTCTACGTTCACGCTTGGCTGGTCGTCGCGTGTCATCCGAGCTTCGATACCGTGCTTAGGTAAACGCAACCACTGGGTCCCAATCTTGGTTGAATTTATCCAGGTCTTACTGTATATCAGTGTAGCAGTATAACAGAAACAGTGTATCAGTATACCAGTATAGCAGAGATAGTACGAAAACCAGAAAGTATCGCGATCCGATCAGATCATTCCAACAATTCGTAAATCGTTAAATCCGCGAAGATAATCCGCGAAGTACCGCTCAGAGTTCGATACTCTAGAATCTACACGACTCTGCTACGAGGCTCAGGTCTTCGACCGAGCAAGATTCCGGTAATATCAATAAATTGATCAAGTCTAGCCTATACGACTCTGCTACGAAGCTCAGGGCTTCGACAGAGCAAGGTGCCGGAAGACTCAGTTGTAAACGCGCGCGAATTAAAGACTGTACCAGAACCAAATAAACGTACATTGTGAACGGAAGTGCGTGACCTTCACGCAAACATCTACCCTACCGTTCGAATACCTGGACGACACACCACCACAGCTTCCGTCCGCAGATAGGTTCTACTCGCCCAGCGAAAGGTAAGTGAGAACCTCTATCTAACTAACAACTCAGATCAAATTTCATAAAGTACGCCGAGGTCTCAGTGAGAGAGGGACTTCGCGACTTTACAGTACAACTCCAAGTATAATTCTCTTGTTTCTAGTAACAATACTTTAAATTTAGCAATGTTTATTTGCCTACCGCTTGCTATGATTCTTAATATCAACGAAAATTTTGCAATTAATTGTTCATCAATGCTACTTATCTTAGAACTCAATGCAGGATTGGCGAAAAACCTCCGAGCAGTATTGCCGTCATTTGTTGACCCGATGTCCGGTTTTGGCTTGTCCACTATTAGCCCCATTTTAGATTTGAATTCAAATATTCTTTTATTGGTTTCTCCTGTTATTCGCCAAACCTTCAACAACAGCATGTAAGAGATGTGTAACAAGCATTCAAAACATTTTATCCAGCAATAAAGGGTGGACAAACCAAATCGGTAGTTGTCTTCGTTCGAAGGTTTTTCGCCAATTGTCACTGAATTCATCTGTTTTGGAGTAGCTCCTCAAATAAAACACTTTGCTGCTGCATTTGTGTTAGATAAAATATTACACGCGCTGCCATCAAGCATAGTAAATAAAAATTCAAAATTAATTTGTACTGTATAACCATTAATTACCGTTTCATAGTTTTGGAGTTTCCGAATGTTTTCCTTCATTTTTGTTTCTTCGTTTCTAATTAATTCCGGATTTTTTTTAGCAAAAGTGAATGTTATAGGCCTACAAAAAAATGTTGAACCAGGGCGAGGATTGACCCACAAATCCACTCCACTTTCTGTATCAACTAATTTTAGAGGTACAAAAGCTATAAAAAATAAATATTCATCTGTATATTCTATATTTGAAAATTTCTGGTTATACGTACTGTGGCCCGAGCTACCGTCAAACCCCCATTTACACATCAATTTTGTAGATATATTTTGATCTATGTGTGTTGTTTTCAAAATGCTTGTGGCAGTGATATTCAATAGTTCTTGTAGATCAGCATGTGCTGATATTTCTGTTATGAAAATATTTTTAGGCAAGAATGTCTTCTTTTCCTGCCTCAATACATATAAAGACGGAAAGCAATTTTTATGAATTGCATTAATAACCGATCGCAAAATTATATACTTTCGTTCTGATATATCTAAATCGAAACAAAGTGATAATGCCTGAGTTGGGTGTAAGGCATTTGCTTACATCCTGCGAAAGTCGACTTTTTTTTTTGGTTAGACAGCGAGAAAATACATTTACGTACGCGAGGTTAGGAGGGGTTAGGAGGGGTCTCGGGCAGTGTGAGACTCGAAGGTACTTGCCAACCCGAGTTTCCTCGAGTTTGGATCGTTACAGTACCCTAATAGCCACTAAAAACTCGCTTCGCACCGGCCACAGACACCTCCGGCAATCTAAAGGGGCATTAATGGAGAGCATCTGTGTAGCTACGATGTTGTTTACATATCAACCGACTCGGATGACCTAAAGGCGTTCAGTCATCCAAGACCGTCGCGAGTAAACCCCATCGCACCTCCGCTTAAGCGCAGGCTATTTTCTGACCGACGGTGATTTCATTTAGCCACAACAGGTCTCGAATGAGTCCATAAACATTCTCGAGCCATTGTGCGTACACACCGCCGGAACTGTGCCTTATCCTTACAAAAATCCTCTTCTAACGTTGCGGCCTATAATGAGCGTCGCTGGAACTGTGCCTTATCCTTGCAGAATCCTTTTCTTTTTCCCTACCCGTAGTTTCCACAGGAGAAGGGCAGGATTGGCCTGAACCGCCTGGTCACCAGAGGCTGCAACACACATGTGGGTGAGGCACGAGAGTCGATGCGAGCGGAGGAATGCTCGTACGAGAGCACGCGATCGCGGTCGGTTCGTTCGTATCGTTTGTTGCATACATTCATCCATTCATTCAAGACTATACTTTGTATATCCAAATCTATGCTTTTAAAGTGTAATTAATTTAATTAAATGTATCCAAATCTATACTATACGTGTGTAGGGGTACCGTACGCGGAATGCTGTACAAACCTAAGAGGTAGGGTAGGTAGAGTCATGATTCGCCGAGAATTGGCCGGCGAGAAGAAGCAGTGGGTCGACCGGTCTCGATCCACTGCCCGGCAGATACAGCGAGGGAGATAGATCGAGCTCGGGATGCTGCGACGAACGAGGGCAGAAGAGGGCAGTAGAGAAGAAGACGCAAATCAGATCAAACAGGGAGCCAAGACGTGAAGCATATTGCGTTTAAAATTTGAGATCGTTAGTTGGAAATTGTACTGCACGAAAAGTGTAATTTAATTTGATTTAATGTAATTTTCGTGAAAATTAAATTGGTCTTCACCATTATAAAATTTTCAAAATTCACAGGAAGCTAGAATTGGCGTTCAGAAAATTGAGGATTTGAATTAGATTTAGAATTAGGAAGAATTTCAGAATTTATATTTATAAATTAAACATGAGGGTTGGGGATTCAGAATTTAGAATTTGAAGGTTTGTGGATTGTTGTATTGGCAGTTACTGGTTGATTTACTAATTATCTGTTTGGCTAGTTAGCTGGGCGATTATAATGTTAAGTTTTGATTTGAAATATCGAAAGACCAGGGTTTGTCCGATCCGGGTGAGCCGCTCGTTGAAGAAGCGCCTCATCGGGAGGGTGAGAGGCGCGTACGAGCGGGCGGTGGACGGATTACGTCACCCGTTCGCAGGTAGCGGCCGAAACTGGGTCAGTGTGTCAGCCACCGGTCGCCGCGTCCTTGTACGTCAGGTTCCAAAGCACGCCTTCTTTTTGTTTTCAACGAGCAATGCTGAAATGATTTCTTCGGTCGTCCGCGAGAAACAGCAACTTCTTTGTTACAACTTGATGTTATTGCAACTTGGTGTTGTTGTTTAACAAAATTAGGTAATTCTACCTCAGAATCCAACCATGATTCGTTCCGATGCAAAAGGCGTTGCAGAATTCTATTGCATTTCTTCCACTTTGTAGTAAGTTTTGCACAGTACAAATTGCTAAATTTCTCTACATTCTTTTTAATTTTCTCAGGAGAATCTAGTAAATAAAAATGTTCTTTAAAAAACGTTAACACATTACGTTTTTTTTTCGTTTTGGCGACTTTCACGCCATTTGTTGAAAATAGGTCTGTTCGTGAGTACACGTAGCTGATCTAAACAAATAGTTATAAAAAATTAAGGAGCAGGTAGGAGCATCCAATTTCATTGTGATCTTTTGCAGGGTATACGTACGCGTATTTCCACCAAAAATCGTGAAGGAGTTTTAAGGAGTATTGTTTAAAACCTTAATTAAAGTTATCAAAAGCGTACAAGTTTACTTTACTAATTTTACTTCCAAATAATGGAAATAAAAAGCAAAAAAAGTGTGAAAGTAAAGAATACTTACCTTCAGAAACACACTCCATCGTAAATAATTAAAAAAAATATCCCTTCTGTATTCAAAACACACTAACTCAATCGCAAGA